AAACCGTTGTAAGGAAAAGAATCTCCCACATCTTAGAAGAAACGCGGCACTGCTAGAGAGCTAACAACACCGCCCTTTCCTACCTTCTGGGTAGACATACATTTCTCCAAGGAAATATTCTTAATATGGCATTAGGGTGTTTGATAACCTCTTGGAATTTTCTTTACTTTGAGCAAATTAAGCAAACAAGAAAGGAAGCATCGGATACATATGACATAGCAGTTTAGCAGGGAACTTTAATCTTGGCTTTATTCGTATTTGGAAATAAATGCTTAAAGACGTGAATTTATTTTTATTTGGCAACAGAGTAACAATGTAAAGTTTAAAATCCTTAGCCCACCCTTACCCCTGGTGGAGCGTCACACTATGGATGCCAGCAGGCTAGTGGCTCTGCTACGAAGGAAGGCATGTTCTACCCCAACTGACTTAGTGTTTCCAAACCGAAATAAAACAAATAGATCAGTCTAGATACACAGCCCCCAGTCTTGTGTGTGTGCAGCGTGACGAAACTTGCAGAAGCTCTCCACAGACAGAAAAGGATGGAGATGGATATCTTTGGAGCGCCCTCAGAATTGGTACCTGCCACACAAACTGCCTGAGTGCTTTGAGAATCAGCAAACAGGCTCCCTATAAACTCATCAACTTTATGAAGAAAGCTACTTGCAAAAGATTTCTCCACTTGCAAAGATAACCAAGTCTGAAGCAACTGTAATCCGAAGGAAACTTCCCTGCCTCAGTGTGTACTGAGGGGCTCTGACTCCGGGCTGCCCCATCCCAACTTCACCTCTCGGGAGAGAGTCAGGAGCCACGTTCTGAAGAAGGGGCAGAAAGCATTTCTTGTCCTTTTTATGTAAGCATCTCTGAAACGGAAGCAACTTCTCTGTCCTCTAAGCATCACCACCAGCGCCTCCACTCCCTTTAAGGAAGTGGTAAGGAGAGAGGGCTTATCTTAAAAAAGGATAATCATGTCTGCTCATCTGCTTGTTTCTCCCCTAGGGTCCAGAGCCCTGAACACATCCAACTTCATCCCTTTTCTTTTACCACTGGAAATCAGAGACCAAAGGCATTTGTAAAAATCTTCCCCACTCCCCCCACACAATCCCCAACCCTTTAGCTGAAAGTTTGAAGAAAAATCAAATTTAACTTTTCTGTCTTTCTTCCATTTCCTTTCCCTCTCCACTCTGAATTGTTTTCATCTAAAACACAACTTCATTCCTTTTTCTGAAACAAGTAGTTTCCGGATTTGATTTTGGTTACAACCTGCATGTATGTGTGTGATTTTTCAGAGGCTGATGCTGGAAGGCAATGGGCTGGGGAGGCTGGCCCATCTTCCCAGGCTCCGCAGGATGCCGCAGGGAAGCAGGAGCATCCCCAAGAGCTGGAGCCTGAATCAAGGGGCTGAAGCAACAAACTTTGCAAGTTACAACCGGGCCCGCCAGTGGCAGGCAACAGCCGGGCATCTCCCGGCTCCAAGTGCTCATTTCTGACTCCAAGGCTGTGTGGAGATAGTGGGGTATAATCAGGGGAATGGAAAAGGGGGGGTGGGTTTTCCCCCTCCTCTCCAGCTTCAGTGAAAGTGTTACAAAGTGAGTCAGGCGACTGAAGATCATCTGACTGAACTTTCTTGAAACCGACACACATTCTTGTCTGCCGGCAACTTGCTTTTTGCCTCCTTCCCCCTCACCCCTCTCCCTCTTTCTTCCTGCACATCTTACTTTCTGGGAAGAGATTTCATCCTTTCCATGTGGGGGAAAGGGGACTGTCAGCTATGGATTAACTTGGCCCTGGCACTCTCTTTGCCAAGCATCTTGTTGGTCTGAGAATCTTGAAGGCTGGGTTTTAGATTCTGGTTTCTCTCTTTGCACATTTATTTCCCTCAAACTGCCTCCTTCTCCTTCGCTTTTTAATAATTGTATACAGCATCGTCTTCTAACCCACATTCTTGACCAGCCTTTCAAACACACACACACACAACTGCTTTACATGTTTTTTCTTCTTGTCGCCTTCCTTTATATATACGTTGTTGACTTCATTAAAATTATATAAAGTGCCATTCTAGTTTCCTGGATGACCATCTTTTTTTTTTTTTTCTTTTTCTTGCAGCTTCTTACTTCTGTGATTAGTATTGCCATTATTCCTTTCCAGGAATTTCTATATGATTTTGATAAGCATCATCATATTTAGTGTTATCAGCAAAGACACAAGCTCAAAAGTGACATCTTTTCCATGAATCCAGGAAAGAAGAAAAATCCACTCAGTTCAGATAAATCCTGGCAATCCCCAAAGGGAAAGGCATTGGATATGTGCTTGATGAGAAAGAAAATGAAAAAGGGGGAAGAAAACTCTTCTACCTGCTTCTCAAAACCAGGGCATTGCTCAGTCAGATTAAACCCGAAGGAAAACACTGACCAGTAACCAATTCACAGCATGTTTTTCACAGATTATTTGGAAAAAGAGACAGGTAATAGTCAAAGTTAGAGAAGCTGTAAACAATGGACAGGCTTGTTGTTAAGTGTGCAAGGCCTGAGATAAATGCCTTAAAAAATGTGCAATGCAACTTTCCATTTCGGAGTGTTGAGGCTTCTCCCAAGTTAGTGGCTGGGCGTAGGGGAAATGGTTGCGGGGTCCATGGCTGAGCACCTCCCTGGCACTCTGTTTCACCTGCGAAGCCCCCATCAGGCCTCCCTCTCCACCAGCCCCACCCCTCAGGGTTCCCAGGGAGCTTGGAGCCCTCTCTTTCCCCAGACCTGGGCTCTGGCCTGACCTCACTGCCCAGCCAGGCTGGTCAGCAGTGGCAAAATCCCGAAGGGGGTGGGAGGAGGCAGGAAAGCAGAAACAAACATTCTAAATAGTGTCTTCTGCAAAAGAACACTTCTGGGAACCTTGCTTTATATCTCTTTCTCTTTTCTCTCTCTCTCTCAAAAAAAAAAAAATATGACTGTTTAACATAAGAAAAAAAAAGGCTCCTTGACACAAAGCTTTTGTTATCCAGTTGATCAGCACCGTGCTTTAGATACTTGTAAGAGGGGGAAAAAAGCCCCACAACAGACATTGATTTTAGAAAATCAATAACCAACATTTAATAAAAGGAACAGAGGAAACACAAGAGAGGAGAGGGGGACATTAGGTATAATTTTAGTGTCTACTAAATTACCCAGAGATGGGGAAGGGGAGGTCTCCTGTGTAAGGACCACCTTAAATAATGCCAGATTCCAGAATGAAGAAAAAATTGAATTAAGAGAGACAGAGAGACAGAGACAGAGAGAGAGGGAGAAAGAGAGGAGAGACTGACTTAAAAAGAGGCAGCCTCAACTGGATCTTGGGGAAGCAGCTCAGAATATATTATTGTACTTTTTTTTTTTTTTTTTGTAATACTAAGCCAAGCAAATAGATCAAAGGCAGCACAAAGGGAAAGGCAGGATAACGTAACGAACAGTTTCTGACCAAAATTCCTCTATCACTCCCCCATATGGCTCGACACCTCCACCACAACAAGCAAAAGATACACACACACACACACACACACACACACACACACACAACACACACAACCTAGAGAGACAGAGACAGATAGAGAAGCATCATTTGTCTCTAATCAAAATTCTCTCGTCTTTGTGTTTTCTCTCTCTCTAGCACCCCACACTGCGCCCCCAGCCGCCCCCTCCCTGCGCCGCGCAGCTCCGGGGCAGGCCGGGGGCGCGCACAATTGTCCTCTCTAGAGGAAAGTTCCTCCAAGTGGGCCGGGCGGTCCCGGCGAGGTGCGGGCTGGGTTTGCGGGAGGCCGGAGGCCGGGCCGGCGCCGCGTCCCCACGTCCAGCTCAGGAGCGTCAACGCGGCCCCGTGCCGGGTGATCAAGCTGAGATCGAGGGGAGCGAGAAGTTTCCTTTCCCAGTCTGAGCTGGCGCTAGTTCGCTTGTTTGTTTTGGGGGGTTGGTTTTTCTTTTTAAACTCAGTATCCTCTGTCAGCTCCCTCCAGCACCCTCTCTGGTCCCCAGCTCTCTCCCCTCCCCCAGGCGCCTTCTGCGCTCTTGCCAATCACTTTTCTCTTTTATTCCCACGATTTTGTTCGGGGGTAATACCTAGGGGGGTCGATCTCTCTCTGTCTCTCTGTTTCTCTCTCCTTTACTTCATCCCTTCTCTGCCTCTCGCCAAGATAGACCTTATTAACAGTCACCCTTTTAATCTCCCACCTCTGGTCTGTGTGTCCCCCTCGTACCCCTATCTCCTTCCTCCTTCCTGACTCAGCTTGGATAACGGGCTCCTCCTGACCATGTAGAAACTGCCCAGAAGTCTCCCTGCTCTCTTCGACCCCTCCAGTCCCCGGCGTGGGGCCAGAGCCCGCTGGAGAGGAGCCACCCACCCCCGAGCCCGCACGGACCCTGCCGGACCCCGCGCAGGGCCGGCCGAGTCCCTCCCACCCGAGGTCCGGGCGCGCCCAGCCGGGCCCCGCTGCCCGCGGACCGTTACTTGGCGTACGGAGAGGCGGCCGCGAGACTCCGGCAAGAAACTTTCAGCCGTGCGGAGGCACAGCCCCAGGCCCCCTCTCCCGCCCTCGCAGTTCCTCTGCCACCCCCGCCCCCGCCCCGGGATCCTGCACAACCCGGCGCCCAGGCCCCCGCCCTGCCCTTGCCGGACACTCCCGCAGCCCGGCCGGGGACCCGGCGGACCGGGCGCTAGCGGAGCGAGAGGCGGAGGCAGCGGGAGGGCGGAGGCGGGGGCACAAGGGGGCGGCGGGGGTGGGGGCGCGGGGCCCCCGCCAGACCCCAGCTCTCGGAGCCCCCCGGCGCCCCCCGCTCACTTTGCCCGGCACTTCCCCAACTCCCCGGGTCCAGCCGCCTCGCGCGCCGGGCTCCTGCGCCGGCCACGGAGAGAGGCTCGCCCGCGAGCCCTGGGCGCCGCCGCCGCCGCCGCCTCGGTTCCCTTTCCCTTTCCCCCTCCTTCTCCCTGGGTCTCTGAGCCGCGGAGTGGCCCGGAAAAGTTTGGTTCGGGCCGCTTCTTACCGTTTTTCCTCCTGGGATTGGCTTGTTTGCGCCTCTTGCACCGGGGGCCATCCGCCATGATCGGCTGCTTCATTGATAAGAGCGGATCAGATGGCAGTTCGCATGGACTCGGCGCCCTGCTTCGGCAGCACGCAGGCTCGATCTAGCAACCAAACACAGCGACAATGTGGGCATCGCCCGCGCCCATTGAAACGCGCGCGGGCCGCCCAGGGGAGCCGGGCCAGGGCCCCGGCGAGCACCCATCCGCGCCCCCCAACGCCAAAGCGAAACTTCGGCGGCCCCCTCCCCGCCCCCTACCCCCAGCCTTGGCCCCGAGGCGCTTTGTGTTTGTTACTGTTTGGTGTGTTGCACCCGCGAGGGGATCAGAGAGACAAGAATTACATCTTCAAAATGAGTCATAACTCCTGACCGTATGAGGGAATGCACACGGCGGTACAGTAAGGCTGCTTGACTCAGGGCTAGGCGGACCCTTTCCTCGGAAAAGTCCTCAGCCCGGCTCGGGAACTTGGGGTGAGGCGAGGCTTTCTTTCACTCTCATCTTGTCTCACACCCCCCCCTCCGCCCCAACCCCATTCCCCAGAGGAAACAAACAAACAAACAACGCGAAACAGCCCCCGGATGAAGCACACTCGGGCAAATTGATAATAGTAATTATAGGAAGCCCACTCGCCCCGCGCCCCCTCCCCTCCCCTTTTGGAGTTTATCGAGGCACTGTCTCTACCTCCCCCCAGTCCCCCGCCCCCAAATTAAGATTTCCCGTTTCACGCCGAAATAAGAAGTATAATTATAAGCCTCTTTGGACACTGTCGCTTCCCACCCCCCACTCCCCCCCCCGCCACTTTGACAATATTTACTTAAGTATTTTCCCCCACCTCATTCACACACATGCTCCCCTACACTGGTTCCTTAAATAGTTCCAGTAGATTTTTTTTTTTTTTTTTTTTTTTTTTTTTTTTTTTATCCCCTCAAGAAAGGAAAGAGAAAGTCCAACCGCTACGGCAATACTTTTAAGCTCTACTAAATGATCGTATCCTTTCTGGCTTCGAAACTTTTGTACCTAAAAATCGAGAGAGGCGCTGCATTTTTTCAGCTGAAACTGTCAAAACTTGGAGAAGGGGAACCTCGGAGGCAGGCAGGAGAGGAGGAGAATCCCGAAACTCGGTGGAGGTTGGGAAGATGCTGTGCCTCGAGGATTAGTTTAAACAGGGGCTATAAAAGATGTAACAGATGCAAACTGTAACACAAGGGCCATTAACCCTTTCTCTGCCGAGCACACTCCGTCCCCACGCCCCGCACCTATTGTCTCCTGTGCTCGAAGCTTTGCAGAAAACCTGGAAAGTGAGTATCAGTTTCCACACATTTGCTGAGAGGGGTGGGGGGGGGCAGAGAGAAGGGGAAGTGGATGATTTAGAAAGCACCTTGAATTTAACCTAGGCATAGTGGGTGACTTTTAAGTTTGACACATTTTGTCATTTCTTGGCTCTCCTATTGATTGTAAATTGTTGGGAAAAATCCTGAAATAAGGAAATGGTCACACAAGTGTCTGGGATGAAACAGCTGGCCTGTCTGTATTCATGCTGAGACTTACACACGATTGCATATAAATACATGTTTAATAAAGTAAGCTGCTAGTTTTATGAGCATGTGTGTGTGTGAGGGATAGATAGAGCATTTGTGCTGTAAACTTTATCTTTGCCTGTTATTTCTAACTCTGGAGTTAGTAATCTTGCCTTCATCATTATAGGGGGAGCATGTAAAATATATAAGTAGGTGGGAGATAAACACATTCATGTTAGCCGGGCTCATCACTGTTCCTGGGAACTCCAGTTATCTCTCTCGACTTTTCAGTGCCAAAGTATGGAATGGGATATGTGTGTGCATGTGTCTCCTGTTAAATCCATGTCTGTAATACTTTGCCATTTAAAATACAATTTCAAAAGTTATCCTTAATTTAAAACTCTGATATCCTGACAGCAGCTTTCTTCCCAGCTGTAGTGACCCCCCCCCTCCACCCCATACACACACTTTGGTAAACGACTCAAGTTCCATGAGGACTTTCACTTCTTTATTTATCATCACAGAAGTGAGGTGTTACTTCACATACATACACACACAAAGAATAAAATAAAGAAATGAAACTCGCTAAGCAGACAAAAACAGGCAACTTTCTGCTTAGAAAACAGCCTTCTCCGGTGGGAGAGGATGCACTGCCATATCTAAGAGAAAGACTTGCCCCTGAATTTGGTAGGTTTGTATCGATCAAGTTTTGTAATTATTAACAGGTATTTGCCAAGTTTTAATTGCTGAATACAATGAACTGGAACTAGATGCAAAAACAGAGCAGAATCTCTCCCCTTGAAGAGTTTTCATTCCACCATGTAGTTCTCAATAAAACTTTTCCTAGGCTGGGTAGCAAAAGGCACCTTTGGTTACCTGAATGGACAGGTACAGGGCAAATTATTTGGGGGAAGAAAAAGGAGAGAAAAGGAAGGAGAGAGAGCGGGAGTGCCAGAGAAATCGAAGAAGTCACTCTTGGGGAAAGCCTGCCATAAAGGAGCTAAACCCACCTGAAATTCCTGCCCACAGACACTCCTTCTCACTTCAGACTCACATCCCCACTTAAAAGGAGAAAAATCATAAAAGGAGGGTGGGGGATGACCATACCAAAAAAGAATAAAAAGAGAGAAAAGGGGAAAAAAAAACCTACCTGCGAAGTCTTGTTTGTAGTTTTGGCCAGAAATGGTGAGAAGAAAAAGCATGAAGAAGCCGCGAAGTGTGGGGGAGAAAAAGGTGGAAGCGAAGAAACAGCTCCCGGAGCAAACTGTACAAAACCTCGCCAAGAGTGTCGGGAGGCAGGACCGTTATTCCTGCGGAGCAGGTTAGAACTGATCTCTTTCGGCCACTCCAGGAAACACAAACCTGGGGACGGACTGACGTGTTACGCCTCTTCTAATGACATTTTTTTCTTTTTCTTTTCTGTAGGAGAGAGAGGAGAGACCCTGAAACACGCGCCACCTATCTTTGTGGGGAGGGATAATTGAAGCGCCCTGAGCGTGAGCATCATGTGAAAACGTGATCGCCAAGTTTCTCTCTGGGAAAGGATCTGGGATAGATTATACCTTGAAGTCTCCGCAAACGCTTTAGTGGAAGAAATGAAATTCCACCTCCCTCCCTTCCTCTCTCCCTCCCCCTCCCCCCCCCCCCCCCCTCCCTCCCCCCCCCCCCCCCCCCCCCCCCCCCCCCCGTCAAGCCTTTGGCATCATTATCCCCATCACTAAATCCTACAGAGTACAGGGCGGAAAACGGTGCACACCATTCACAGAACTGGAGAACTCTAAGGGGCGAAAGTTAAAGGGAAAGATCCCGGGTCCTCAATCCAGATCGCTTCTTCTTCTTATACAGATATTTCTAATGACCAGATTTGAGATGAACATTTAGTTGTGTGGATTTCTCAGCACGTCTTCTGGAACTAAATTCTTTGCCTTTTTTCTTATTTATTTTTTTTTCTTTTTAGATGGCAGAGCCAGAAAAAAAAAAAAAGCTGCATGTGAACTGCATCTTAGGGTGTGTGTGTTGGGGTGTGTTTATGATGAATTTTTGGATTGGATCCCAATACTAAAAAGTAGTTTGGCATTTTAAAAAAGGGTCTCTAAGTAAATTAACATAGGGAGCTGGGTTGACTGATCTCTGAATCTCTCTGCATTCAGGGAGACCTCACTACAAAGTGAGGGAGTGTGTGTAGGAGGAAAAGGAGAAAGGCCATAGAGAAACTTAGCAGGAAAGGAAGAGCATGATATTAAACGGCATGGGGTCTAAGTTTTGGAGTATATTTTTTTTGATTTTGCAATTAAAGTAAAATTAAAAAGAAAAGACTCCACCTTTGCTCTGAAGGGATTGGTTATGTAAATATGGAAGGGATTTCCTGGAGAATACAGCTTTCTACTGTATGGTTAATTAAATAATCACTCAAAAGCTTCCAACGTGACGCTTCTGTCGTAATCCAATCAGGTTACATAGGTCCTAAACAAGAAAGATATTTTCCACATCTGGAAGTCAGCAATTTAGCAAGTACTGCACATTATTAACCAATTCAGAGCCCACTTCCCAGGGGAATTTTTTTTGAAGTTTAAGTGTTCTTAACCAATGCTCTGCTGTTTTGTTAATCAAAAAGCTGGTTTACACTGCACGTAATTGGAACTAATATAGAAGTAAATAAAGACAGCCAAATTTGAGGATGCTGAGCACAGGCATTTATCGGAAAAGGAAGAAATTTCTTAGCCTCCAATGGTTCAGGCTCAATTTCTTAAAGCACTGAGACTTTTTTTTTTTTTTAAGAGTGAAAGTGCTTGAGAACCTCAGAGCACAAATAAACTTCCAGTCCCACAGCCTTTGGACTTCCTTGCAAAGGTAAAGGTGGAGGTGTCAAGAGAACTAAACAACCTCACGCCAGCTTTTCTGCTTTAATATTGTTAGTGTCACAACCCCCTGTTTTCAGTCTGATGAAATCTGAAACAGATAATACCCTGATCCAACACTAGACTTTTACTTATATTAAGATAAACTGCTTTGAATTGTGCTTTGAATGTGTGCCTAAAGCAAGACTTTGAATGTAGGAGTCACTTGCAATTGCACTCAGAGGAGGGAAAAGCCACCACATGGGTTGCCACATCCATACTCCCAGAGGTGCATGTCTTTGTATTTTGTATATTGGGGGTGGGGTGGGGGGCAATAGCCATCCAGCATGACCACAGCCTCTTCTTACTTTAAGATGCAAAAAAGTAAAATTTCACCGTGGTTTACAGACTTACCTCTCTCCCAACTTGAGTAACACAATGAGAATAACTAGATAAATTAATCTTCTTCCCCACACCATTACAGATAATTTACCTATAGAAGAGGAGCATTCGAGAGCATCAGTCTAAGAGTTAATTATAAAAAAGGAAAATTAATGATTTCCAATATGGGTCAGACATATTTTAAATTTTATGTTTTACATTACTTTTAATAGTATATATTTATATTAAATATATGTATGACTTATCAAATTCCTCCTCTATTTATCTCTATTGTTAATGTCTTTTTTTCTTCCTCTTCCCACTTTCCCTCCTTTTTATTAAAAAAAAATGGAATCCAACTTTCTCTAGAAGTTTGCTTTTCAGCCTCCCCACTTCCATTCCCATGGAAGAAGGATCCCATTGCAAGGAGTGATTGCAAGAAGACCCCACTGTATTAGCCCAGGTAGTCGTTGGATGGTTACAGTCTCACACACACACTCACAGGCAAAACCTCAGGTCAAAGGATCCAGGGAAGGGCTAACAAATCACTTGTCTTTATTATGTATATTAGTGTCAGGTTACTTAGGATCTGGCTTAAAGGAAAAAAAAAAAAAGAGACTCAAATATTTCCATTAAAAACACTTAATCATCTGATTACTCTGGGCTCAGTAATTGTTGAAGTGGCAGGAGGCAGCCCCAACACTTAGGACTGGGAGTTCCGACTTTCAAGTATTTGATTTGGGGTAAAAAAGCAATCTTTTAGGGTCCCATTAAGGTGTATGTTTGGATGATGGCAAGGGAAGGGTCTCTGAGAGGGGTGAGCGCGCGCGTATGTTGCCCCCCGCCCCTGCCTGGCACGCCCCTGGCACTCCCCTCCTCATTTGACCGAGAGTTCCCACCAACGCAGAGGCGGTGAGATCGAAGGAAGCCGAATAGAAATTTGTTCCGAACACTCCCTTAGTCCGAAGGCCAGGTCGGGGACAATGGGGATCGTGGGATCAGCGGGATGCATGAGCGCAGGGCGCAGGGAAAAGTCGAGAGAGGACTGGTGCTTTCGGCTCCTCACACAGCAAAACAAGTCCTGCAAATGAATCGCTCCTTCCCGATCTTTCTTTCCCATTAATAATCCATTTCGAGATTAGCGCAGACGAAGGGGATTAAAACGACAGATACAAGTAAATGCGAAATAACGCTACAATCGACATTGGAGGGAGAAAAAAATTCTTTAGGGTTTCTTTGAGTAAAATAAACTGCCTCCCTCAGGATTCCCTCCACCCAGGCAGGGTAAGAAGATGCACTTTTTTTTTCCAATTTCCTTCAGCCAGGATCTGGTGCCCGTCCCCCCATTCACCTCTCAGTTGGTCAATTTCCCCAACTTTCGCAGCAATTCGCCCCCCCTCCCTCCATCCCCCGCGCCAGCCCGCAGCTCCGCTTGCCGGCCCAGAAGCCCAAAGAGATACAATGTTTCTGCTCTTGAACACACAGGCTGTAGAAGGAATTCGAATTTGGCCCAGCTAATGAATTTTTTTTTAATATAGAAAATTCTGTTTATTTTGTACCATGTGGAGAAAATTAAAAAAAAGGAACCTATTCTCGTTTTGAAACGGAATTGATCTTTCATCTAGAGGAATTATTTCAACCCTGTGTTGTTACGCAGGAGGTGGGCAACTTCTTTTAGAGTTGCAAGCAAAGGGTGATAAGGGAGACCCCTGGATTGAGGTGTGTGTGGAAGGGGTGGGGGTCGGCAGGGGTCCAAGCCAAGCCAAACGGTTTTCTCACGTGCAAACTTGCAATCCAATCCATTCGGAGTTGAGCCGAGGATAGGAGGGGGAAATCTATTTAAAAAAAAAAAAAATCAGGAGCATCTCTCTGAGAAACCCTTTTAAACAAAATCAAAACAGGACCAGAGAACCTCAGACCGACCCTAACGTCCCTGCTGTGAGGCCCGCGGGCTATGGAATCACGCACGTCACCTGGCCCCAGCAGGGCGGCCAGCTGAGGGGTTCTTTTTATTTTATTTTCTTTTATTTTTTGAAGTTAAGGCTGAATCTGGGCTTCAGTGCTTTTGCCAACGTCTCCACTGACAGGAACCAGCAAACTTCAGGACTCAAATGAGCGTCTTAATTTATTGATGCAAAACAGGTCTGCTTGTCGCCCCCAATTCTCGGCGCGCTCGGTCCCCCACGCCCCCAGCTTCGGTCCCTCCATTCGATCTCAGGGTAAGGCCCCGCCGCACAGGCGGAGGAGCACGTGGGGGGGGGGTGTCCGTCTCCGCCCGCCCGTCCTCCCCAGACCTGTACCCGCCCGGGAACCCCGCGACCCCCACCCCGCCGCCGGGTCAGCTGACCTGGGTCGCTAGCTAGCCGGCTCCCCGCCCGCCGCCCTGTTTCCGGTCCCCGGGGTCCGCGAGCTGCGCGAGGAGCCGGAGCGGCCGCAGCCGGGAGGTGATGCTGGGGGCTGATTACCATGAGAAAGGCTGTGCCTGGAAAAGCCTCCTCCACGCGACTGTCAATCTCTCCAAGGGGGGGGGGCGGGGAAGGAAAGGGGCCCTGTAGGAGTCACCAGAAAACTTGGAGTAAGTTGGATGCGACGCAGGCCTGAGGAGGTGGCTTTCGCCTCAACTTGGAAGGCTGTGGCGTTAAGGGCGCGGACGCCAGCAGCCTCGCCAGGGAATTAAAAACCCCAAAGCCTTTCTTTCCTCCCTCCCTCTTGCCCTCCTGTCAGCCCTCCCTGCCCTTTATCCTTATTTTCTTGAAATTCTTTCCCAATTGCATTTCCTACATTCTCCTTTCTTTTTATCTGATTATCTTCCTTTGCAATCTCTTGTTTTGTTTCTTAGCATCCTCTCTCTCTCTCTTTCTCGCTCCCGCTCTGATTCTTTTGTGCCTCCTTTAGGTGTCCAGATTTATCATTTAGTTTTGAAAACACAGTGTTTAATATGTAATTAATTTACCAGCAGGAGGTCAGGGACGTCTTAACTAAAATAACTCCCTGGGTCATCAGAGAGCAAGTTCACCAGGTGTCAGTGAAAAGTAAATCATAATCATAAATATTAATCAATATCTTAGTAATCAAATAGCTTCTTATTCTGAATCATATCAGCTCAAACTGATTTTTTTTAAAGATATAATCTTCCTGGAAAAAAATAATATTTGATATAGAGAAATGATTTATAATTAAAGCAATGTGGAAAAAATTCTTATTTACAGCGATACTTTAGCAGTATTTAATCGACTTTAGAAATTATGATAAGTAATTTAAAGAAACTGAAACTGTGTTTTATCTTTTAATGTTTATTCAGAAAGCGTCAAAAATTCCCAAAGCACCCTCCTCCCCACAAAGATTGATCACTTCAGAGAGAAACATGTTTATTTTGTACTTGCTAAACAAATTCACAACTGGAGTCATTGGGTTGATTTCTTGGCCAGGTTGCCCCATTACCTAGCAGGTGAGTGAACATGGGGCTGCAAATGTCATGAATGTGGCTATGTTTTTTGTTTTCCTTATTTTTTTGTTTTTCATTCATTTTGAGCACATTTGTGTTCACTTATTAAAATTCAGAGTTTGCACTTGTTTACAATTTGTTTACTTTGTTGCATTTTTAGAACTTGTTAGAAGTCAATTGAACATGTATATTAAGCTGCTTTTTAGGCCTAGAAAAATAAAGATGCACTAGAAAGATGCCTTTTATGCTTCATAATTATTAATTGACATTTTATGATGAATAATTAATCATTTGAATAATTTTGGTATCTCTGATCTGAACACATATTTGCATATCTAATGCTTAATTTTAACTGTTTTTTTTTTAAATCATTCTCTTAGGACAAAGTAACAAAATAACATTTTAATGTAAAATTTCTCTTTAACATTTGTGTAAGTTTATTGAGTTGTATTATTCTTTCTAGATAGCCATGAAACTTCTTAACAATTTGTAAACCATTTATATAGTAATCACATACAAATATGTGACAAAACTACAGTTACTTAGGAAAAACAATACCCTGTGTAAAATCCATTCACTCTCCTCCCCAAATGCAGAGATACGCACTAATTATGCACCATATTTTTCTTATTGGAGTTTGATCACTGAACTTTTTGGTTATGTCTATTTATACAGGTCAAAAGTGGAACATTGAGACAATTGACAAATAATTAAGACATGGTACTTAAGGTAATTTTACATTTTTTTACTTATTAATATATAGGCTGATTAAAAGTTATTTAAAAATGATCACGCAAATATATCCCTGGAATTTTTATGCCCCTGTGTCAGTTGAAGTCTGAGGTATCTATTTCTGATACTAGCAGTGCAGATTACTACCTGTATGATTACAGGCAACTTACTTTAAATGTGTTTCCTTATCAACAATGTGGGTACGCTAATAGTGTTCATTCCTTAGGGTTTTTATTGGGAATTACATGAAGTAATACATGAAACGTCATTATAATGTAGCTTTATTATTATAATGAAAAGTTGAAAAAATAACATGGAACATACAGATCAATTAAAGACAGTATAAATTAATTTTGACTACTAAAAACTAACTTTTAGTATCATTCATAATTTTTCTATTGAGAAATGAATGCTGTGTCATTAAGTGAAGAAATAAAATGGAAAACATCATAAGATTTATGGCTGGTTAGACCTGTTCAAGGGATGCATAGCCATAGATGTGAGAATAAATACAGTATTTCTATATTATGTTAGTTCAGCAGTTAATTTATTGTATTTAAGATGGTCATAATTTGGTTATAAATATCAGACTTCTTTTAATCCAAGTGTATAAACTTGAAGTTTCTCATGTTTTTTAGTAACATACTGTCTTTGAGTGTAAGGGTTAAATGTGCAAAAGCTCAGAAGCGGTCTTGAGTAAGAATTGTGAGGGGAAAAAAGGCAAATTTAAAAATTTGGAGACCAGGAATTTCGCTGTCAGAGCATTATTTGCTGTAAGACCATTCATAATGAACTGAACATTCCCTTTTGGAATTGTTGTTATCCTGGGGTTTGTGCTAATTCCAAGTACCTATAGTGGGGGAGAAAATCAGTTTATTAAATGGAAAATGAAATCCCTAGTCTCTTAAACATCCACAAAGCCAGATTTTCTTTTTGATGCAAAAGCTGAAAAATCGATGCAAATGCTAAGGGGAAAAAACTATTGCGATTTTTAATCCCAATACTGATGGCTTTTTGTTGTTGTTGTTTTCTTTGACTACTCAAAGCACTCCAAGTGTCCCTTAATTGTTTCCTTTCTCAGAGGATTCATTCCATACTCCTTGTAGGTCAAAACCACCAAAAGGGCCATTTGGACATCAGCCTAGGGGCTCAGAGTGCCCTGTACCTTTTTCTTTTTCCCTTTTTAAAGGGAAATGGGACAAGCAATTGTTTATACCTACAGATTGTCTGGTGACCTAGAAATAACTTCATACCAATTTGTGGTCTTCTTTAATAGTCCTCATTTTGTTAAAAGATCAAAATTATAAACTTTGTACTCTGTTCAGTTCTAATTTTGCACCATTCCAGGGATGATTTTTGGTTGTCAGAGTTTTTCAGGTGCTTAAATATAAAACCTTCCTCTCAAAAATGTTCTTCTCCATGATAATCACAACTATGCAATAATAGTAGCTAAGAAAACAACAGCAACAAAAAACTGCCCTTCTAGGCCTGGCATGTTTAGATGTGACCTAGAAAGAATTGATGACTTTCTCTAGAATTCAAGTGTCTGGTTCTGTGTGGGCCTTTGAATCTGTCAGGGCCGCCTTCATGGCCAACACCGTGCACATGGGCTATCCACAATCATCTCACCTTTCACAGATATGTTTCTGAACAGCTTGTGCCCACCCACTCTGCGCACTCTATCATGATCCACTGCCAGTCTTCCTGGATGATTGGGTTAGTACTTGCTTTTCCATGCATGGCTTATGCCTTTTGGACCTAATACTTAGGGTCATTTCTCTAGTTACAACGTTGACTCAAGTCAAGTGCTCAGGTCGTATGCTTTCTCTAGCTTTGTTGCCTGTGGCTTCACAGGTCAGTTCAGTCTTCTCTCCAGGACCTTCAACTCAGGAAGGGCTCCCATGTGTAGGTTCCTCCTAGCTTACACTGGCTCCAGTGCTGGGCCCAAGCACATGACCATGAAGAAGATCATGATACAGGCATAGCTGGGAATAGTTTTTATTTCTCATACCATTCTTTTATTGCTTGTTGACTGCAAACTAGACATCAGTGTATTTGACACTAGGTTTTTTATATTCTCCTCAATGATAGCATATTACAATGGCAAAGATACAGATTTTGGAATTTGATGAATTGGATCTGATTTCCTGCTTTGTGTGTACTCATTGTGTATTGAGGACAAGATATTAAACCCCTATGAGCCTCATTTTAAAAATGAGCAAGAGAAGGGCACCTGGCTGACTTGGTAGATAGAACATGTGACCCTTGATTTTGGGGTTGTGAGTTTGAACCCCACGTTGGGCATAGAGATTACTTAAAAAAAAAAGCAAAAGAATAATTAGGTTTTAGCTGATTGTGGTGAAAAAATATAACAATATATGTAAAATGTCTGATACGGGATACGCATATCAATAAATAGGAATTCCTTCCCATGAATTACCTGAAAAATATATGAAGTTAAATTATAAAAAAGTAGAGTAGATGTAGCGTGTATTTTAGTTATTAATTATACTATTTTAATTATTTTATTGTTATTTATTTTATGATTCTACTAAAAATTATTTAACTGGTTCTTTCATTATACAGACATTAATGTTTACTGATAGCAAAGTTAGAAGAACAACGTGGAGGGGTGCCTGGGTGGCTCAGTCAGTTAAGTGTCTGTTGATTTCCACTCAGGTCATGATCTCGGGGTCATGGGATTGAACTCCACATCAGGCTCCACGCTGGGCCTGGAGTCTGGTTGGGATTCTCTCTCTCTCTTTCTCCTTCCGTCCCTCCCCGCTGCTCACATGCACTCTTCCTCTATAAAGAAATAAATAAAATTTTTAAAAAAAAAAGAAAAATAACATGGAATTTTTCATTTTGTGGTAGAAAAGTTGGTGGGGGTTCATGATAACAAACATCATGATACTAGCTTCTAAGATTATATATTTCACATGTCCATTTATAATTGTAAGGAAAAGGTATTTTCCCACATCATTATCCCCATGTGACCTGGCAGTGGAGTAAGCAGTCTTGTAGCCAGCTCAGCATGGTCAGAAAGTGTCAGAGATCCTATTTGCTCAAGGTAAAACGAAGACGGTTTTGACACTGTCCAAAGCTCTTTACCTACTCTTACCCAGACTTCAGAGCATTGAAGGCATTGTGGGGGGGTAGGAGCGATAGAATAGCACTGAGAAAGTTGGCCTGCAGTATCTTCTTCCTGTCCCTCAAGTTGAGTGCTGAAACATCTACTTAACAAAAGAAAAATAGAAAAGTAAGACTATGTATATAGCACAGACATTGCTTCACTCTCCTGCCTGCAAATTTGGGAGTGGGGTTGGGTCAGCAGGCCCTGGCATGATCTCCTGTGTATGTGACTTTTCTACCCTATGCCCTGGAAAGGAGGGTGTCAGGGAGGACTGGGCTGTGGACACAGGGAGCATATTGTTCCAGTGGTTCTACTACAGTGCAAACCAGGCTTCTTTCTCTCTCTCTGGAACTAACTTTGCTACACACACACACACACCCACACACACACACACACCACACACCACACACCCACACACACACCACACACACACACCACACACCACACACACACACACACCACACCCACACACACCCACACACATGCACCACACACACACACACACACCACACACACCACACACACACACCACACACACACACACACCACACACACACACACCACACACCACACACACCACACACCACACACACCACACACACACCACACACACACACCACACACACACCACACACACACACACACACACCACACATACACACCACACACACACACACACACTACACACACACACACACACCACACATACACACACACACACACACACACACACTACACACACACACACACACACACACACACCTGTTCCTATTAGGCTTTTCCTTGGCCATTGTGGAACTGTAAGTATGGCTCCTGTGGGTAAATTTTCTGGGCTGCCGGCAGCTGACTTACCTCTTGTTCTTGGCATATGGCTAGACCCTTCGAGACAAGAGGGGCAGAACAAAACTGAATGTTCACAAAAAATCTTGGCCTTTCAAAACAAGAAGGAAAACTTAAAACCTCATTCTTTTAAAGCTTAATTTGTCTATCTAGTAAACATTTGGAATTTAAGTTTAGAGAAATCAGCATGATCCTGAAGTATAGTATTACCTACCACCACTAGAATTTATATAAGATATTGAAAAATTATTTACAATAGTTTGCCATGGTCCTTAGGTAAAGACGATCTCTGCTGAGTTCTGCTTCTACTAGGGAGGGGTCTTGTGTGGCTGAGGGAAATATTCAGGATTGGGTGAAGTATGCTTGCATTTGAAATCACTTTGAACTTTGGGCAAAGTAACGTGTTTATGATATTGAAGCAAAGTACCATCACTTGGAAATTTTTAATCATTGCTTCATTTAGGCTCTCTAAATAGTAATTTATTTGACAAAGGAAGGCGGTCTATCACTGATGTATCTTTCCTAACCCCCTAGAACCGTGTCTATTATATAGTAAATATTTGTTGTTTTTTGGTGGAATCTGCCATTCATTAAGAAGCTTTAAAGGGAAGTAAAGTGATCTCCCATTTACACTTACAGTGGCTTGAGATAAGGCTGAGGATAGATGAGGGTAGCAGGCAGAAACCACGGACACTTAGACCCACACACCTCCTTTTTATCAAGTTATGTACCCAGTTACATTATTTAGCACAAACTGTCTTATTCCTCTTCCTCTGTATCAGTTTTACATATGGCCTAAAATAAATGAAGGAACATATGCAGAATTATGTGTACATATTTGTCTCTCTTTCAGTGACTCTGATGAGTCTTTTCATGGTTGATTTTTACATAAATATATTAAAATTTAATAAGAGGTTTATTCCTGAAAAAGGAAAGAAAGCATAGGGAGGGAAGGGACAAGACTAGTAGAAGTACGGTTTGCTTACAAAGGCCAAGTGTGAAATTGCATTTGAGGATAAATGATCTCCTCACCTGCTAATACCACTCAGTAGCTAAAGAAAGAAAACAGAGAAGATCAGGAGTTGGGTTTTGTTTCTCCTTTAAGTAAATGAGCAGGCTCCAACAGCCAATAGGCTAGATGATTCTCCTGCCAGGAGTTTCATTTTCATGGAGAACTGTAACTGGTTGCTCAAAGGTCTTGAGGTGAAAAGTGTGAGCCTTATTTACAATGCTTTCTTTCTCCAGTACACTTCCCTCTCTCTTCTTCCCTCTGCTTTGGGTCCTGTTTCTCGGCGCCTTCACCTCTCCTCACCTTTTTGTTGGTGCCCTCTGTTCCGAGGAAAAACGACCTTTCAAAGATAGCCTGGTCCACAGCCTTCAACAGGCTTAGCTTTTAAATAGTAAGCTATAATGGGAAAATTAGAAATTTCCACTATATTGCAGAAACCTGCCCGGAGGAAACAGACGTTGACCTGAAATATTGTAAGGAAGGCCAGTTCAGTACCATTGCTGTATGTTCCGTGCCTAGCATGGAGCTGGTGGCCAAGAGGTGCAGAAGAATGTCTGTTGGATGAATGGATGCATGCATGTATGAATACTGTAGAAAAGAAGCCAGGCGTAAGACAACAGATGCCATTTATTCCACATGCCAAATAAGAGTCAAAAGAATTAATGTAGGTGCAAAAATCACCTGTGGTCATAAACAGGATTCTGATATTATTTTTGAGTTCTGAGTATAAGATTTTATTTCCAAAATGAAATACCAAAATCATTTACCAAGCAATAGAGATATAACAGTCCCTCAGTCACTCACTTGCAAAGGAAATTTTCAATACAAATAAAGTCATACATATTTATACTAGGGTAATTCAAAATAACTTCCTCACATAAGCACTGCTACGTTCAAATAAAATCTTGCCAACACTTCTGAGTACATTGCTTTAAGAAAAAAAAAATGCTCCCTGTAGCGTCCGAACTATTTAAAAATCTTGCCAGCTTCTTCAACATACATCAGTTATCTCTCTTTAAATCACTGACAAGAATTTAAAAACTGCTTCATCAGAACAACTGTTACCCTTTCTCATACTCTAGTTAGAACCTGATCTTCTAAAAAGGACCATATTTACAGCTTCTTTTGAAATTTTGAAACCATTTGGCTGATATGTTTTTGCTACATTTTCTTTTCTTGATTTAATTACTGGGGACATTTGCATGAAAACAGGAGGACAGAGACATAAGATTTTTGTCTTATGAGTTCATCTGTTTCTGATGCTTAATTCCCCACCTGAGATCAGTATTTGTTTTGTTATAATTGGGAAGCCAGGAGCTGGATTGGAAATGAAGTTTTTGGAGGTCAAATAAAGTGCAGAAATAGGGACACAGGAGGCTAAGGGATTCGTGGAGGATATGATAATGGATTTTCTTCTGGATTACTTATTTACAAGTAGTCATCATGTCAGTGATACATGGTGTGTTATTGAAAAGGTTAGAAAACCAAGGAACTCTACAGAACTGGGTTGGTGCTTCTCTAAGAATACCACACTCAGGCAGTCACTACTATGTTGTAGGTATTGACAAGCATCAGAGAAAACAGTGAAGGGGCTGAGCCTAGGTCACACAAGAATTCTAGAGATGGCCACCGGAAGTGGGGAAGGAGATAAAGCCAAATGCCCTGCTAATTCTGACCACCTTGCAAACGCTTGTGGTTTTTCACAGGAGAATCAGAGAAGACTCTCCGGATGAATTCTGAGCATCTTCACGTGGATTTTCATGGGTATGTAGAATTATACACGGTCAGAGTTGAAGTCATATCTTCTAACTTTTCACATTCTTCTTGAAGGGCACAACTGTCCATCCAGTCTTCCAAGCCCAAATTCTGGGGTGACTTTTGACTCCTCTCTTTTAAAAAAAATCGGGGGGCGCCTGGGTGGCTCAGTCGTTAAGCGTCTGCCTTCGGCTCAGGTCATGATCCAAGGGTCCTGGGATCGAGCCCCACATCGGGCTCCCTGCTCAGCGGGAAGCCTGCTTCTCCCTCTCCCACTCCCCCAGCTTGTGTTGCCTCTCTCGCTGTGTCTCTCTCTGTCAAATAAATAAATAAAATCTTTAAAAATATATATAAAAAATTAAAAAAAATCCATACTTCATCGCCCAGCAAATGCTAATGCTCTTACCTCCACAAGTTCCTCAAATATGCTCACATTCCCCAAATCCTCCACACTGACATCCCTACCCTATCTCAGGTACTCATCATCTCTTTCCTGGAAGGCTATGCCCACCTCCCACCTGGCTTTTGTGTTTCCCATCTTTCTTCCCTCATGTCCATTCTCCACACCATCACCAGAGTGAGTGAGTGATCTGAAACATATATCTGACTGTGGCACCGCGGAGCCTAAAAGCCATCAAGAGTTCCCCATGACATCACCGTGGTGCTTCTCAAACTCACCTAACCCCAAAGATGGAACCCTGAGGATGGCTATTTTCATAGCATACTTTTTAATTAATACTTATATTTAGCAATTTAAACTTTGCTCCTCTTCCACAGTTTTGGGTAAAGTTGAGACTCCAAGTAGGTGGGCCAAGTTAATCCTGCCTGTTCCCCAGGTTTGAATCCTGCAGTGTGAGAAGCTTAGTGCCAGTGCCATAAGCCATGGTTCTGTAGCCAAGCACACGAAGCCCTCTGAGGTGGAACATGTTCTCTTCTTCACTTTCCTCTCCTGCCAATCCTCAGATGGCATATTACACTTTTGTACTATTGTTTGTATTTTCCCCTAAACAAACCATCTCATTCCCAATGTTAGGGAAGTTGCCTATGCTATTTACTGGGAATATTCTCTCCTATCCCTTCATTTGGCTGACTTCTGTGTTCATTCTTTGACTCAGTTCACGTGTCATCTCCTCCTGGAAGTCTGAGGCAGGCTCCTCTGTGTCCTCATGGCACTTGGCACTCTGCACTGCTGTCCTTCCTTTATATGTCTTCTTTCAACCACAATAAGTTTTCCATGAGGCCAGGGACACTGTCATTTTCATCTTTATACCCTATTATGGGCTGAATGTTGTATCTCCCAGAATTCATTTTTTGAAGGCCTAATTCCCAATGTGATGGTACATTGAGGTAGGGCATTTGGGAGGTAATTAGGTTGAGATGAGGTCGTGAGGGCAGGGTGCTCACAGTGGGATTAGTGCCCTTGTAAGCAGAAGAACAAAGAGAACTTGCTCTCCTCGTGCACATGCACCAAGGAAAAGGCATATGAGCCCCCAGCAAGAGGAGGCCGTCTATAAGCTAGGAAGCGAGTTCTCTCCAGGAAGTGAATCTGCTGATACCTTGATCCTAGAATTCCCAGCTTTCAGAACTGTAAGAACTAAATGTCTATTTTTTAAGCCACTTGGTCTATGGTATTTTGTTGTAGCAGCCTGAGCTAAGACATAGCCTCAACTCTTAGTAAGTATCTGGCACACGGTGGACACTTAAAAATACATTTTGAAGTAATGTGAATATCATGGTACAAGCTAATTTCCACCACTGGACAAAGAACTCCAGGCACATGCGTGTTCTACAGATAATGCATTTAGCTGCAGGAGCACTCTAGCCTTCCTGCACTTCATATTAATAGGGGACCGAAAAGTTGGAAAGGTCTCATTGTAGTTTTGAATAACTTATATTTAGTTTAGACATGCATTTGCAAAAGTATTCAAATAAAAATAACTTTCACATGTAAAACATTTTCAAATTTCAAAGCTCTTACATATGTATTATCTTCACTTGATCCTTACAATAAACTTTCAAGGTTGGCAGATATTATTATGCCCAATTTGGAAAAGCAGGAAATTAAGATTTTGATGGAGTAAGACAAAATAATCAAACCCATTTTGGAAGACCCAAGTATGTTTCAGAAATGGAAGCATCTTTGTGAAACTGGCAAAGAGCAAATTTTAGTATTCTTCTGTGACAGATGAAGAAATAGGGTGTTGAAAGGACTAGCTCGGAGTCACAGGGGGCCACTGTCAAAGTCAAATTGAACTCTGTCCTGTGACTCAGATTAGTCCTGATACACCCATGTACATTTATGTGTACATATTAGAAAGGGAGCCTTGGTTTTAGGAGAGCAACCTGAAGAAATTTTTTCTCTTCTCCTCCATAACTGGTTTGTTACTTGTCTTTAGTACATAAAGATACCAAATAAGAAACAGAGTTGTTCAAGAGTAGTTTGGGGGCAAAATTGGAAAATTATTTTGTTTATTTGAGATGGGAGAGTAGGGACAGCAGGGATCATATTGAGCCTGAACATTTAAAAAATAATTTCTTGCTTTCATGATGAAGTCGTAAAATACTTAGTTTTAAGTAAACGTAATGAGATCATCTCAATATATCTTACCTGTAATTTTCTATAATTTTTTCCCTGATAAATGTGAAGCCCAAGAAAAGGTGTATTTATTATAGTTCTGTTGCTGAAGGAAAATGCTGCTTCCAGCAAGGGGCTGTCTTTTACTTCTGTTTACTTAGAATTTTATAAAGCAGATTTGGCAGATACTCTTCTGAGGGGAGAAAAATTTCACATAAGTTAGGATGGTAGATAAAAATGTATTATTTATTTGTGCTTTGAGTCACTCTTGAGAGGCCAGTAATACAAAATAAATTCTGCATAGTCTATGATGCAATGACTGAATGCAAAGATATTTATAATCTTCCTCCTACCTACCCCTAGAAATTGGTTAAACAGTTTTACAAAGTATGTCCTTATGTGTAAATTGTTAAAGTTAAAATGTGTTGACTAATGCATCAGGATTATGGGCCAATTAATAAATGCAAATATGGGGTGGGCACTTCATTTTCTAATGAATTGCTTGACAATTACACACATGTATCACATAGTTATTCATTCAGCCAATGCTTACCAATTGCCTACTATGTGTTAGGCTCCATGCTGAGAATAAGGATACAACAGTGATCAAGACAGACCTGATCTTTGCAGGCTGGCAAGGAAGTCGGCGGGGGGATAATGAATGCTATTGAAAGTATAGACAGCAGGCCCTCCAGCCCAATGATAGCTACAAAATAAAGTGAAGGCAAGAGTAGATCTTCCTAATGCACAAAAGGTCAGGTCTTTGAAATCCATTAACCACCACCGAAATTAGTCTAAATCACCTGTGACATATTATAACCCTTCCAGGTGGGGCTAAAGGCATGTTGAGACCTGAGTAGGCTGGGAGGGAGAGAGGAGAAAGCCTAGTGTCAGAGCTGCAGGGAGGGAGGCCAGGGTTCCAATGACAATAGCTAGAGGGCTTTGATGCACAAAGCTCATGAGAGGCTGACCTCAATATCCAAAAAGGGCTCATTCTGGTGGGTGGTAGCTCTTCTTGCCAAGTATGAGGCAGTAGCTCTGACTTTCTGGGGGTTCTGTATCAGTGGAAATAGGACCCCAGTCAGCTGCTGGGTCTCACGCACGGATAGGCTCTAGCCACTGACAGGAGGATCCTGGCAAGGACTAGACAGATTATCAGGGGAGGAGCCTCAAACTGGGGTTCAGGTCGGGGCGCTTATTCCAGGAGAGAACCAAAGTATGAAATGGGCACCAAAGCAGGTATAATGAATAATCAGAAGGGATTGGGTGTTGGGGGCGGGGGCTGCTCCTTCCATGGCTTTAGGGTGTGTTGGTCCTCCCTAGATGGCAGGCTCTGTGTCTCTTTCCTAAGTGCCCTCTTCCGGCCACCACAGCTCCTTTCTCTCGCATCTCTTTGTATTCCAGTCCTCTCTGTGATGCCCAAATATCGAATAAAGCCTCTGTGTGCACCAAGAACAGTTCATAGCTTTTGAGTGTGGATTTGGCTTTCGTTGGGATGATATTATTTTTAGTGTCAGTTCATTAGAATATAGGTAGTGCTTGGGTTTTTGCTGTGAAAGGTATGATGCTTAAAATTTAAACAAATATAAACAAACAACTTCAGTATTTTGGTTTATTTATTGATTCTAATGGCAATACCTTTTTTTTTTTTACCTAGAACAACAAAAATGATAACAAAACTATAAAGAAGCCTTTAATTAGTGAATGCATGAGTTTTGTTTCCTTAGGCATTTTTCCTCTTGATTTGTGAGAACTAAATAGCATATCCACATATGTTGTTCCTATGTAATGGATTAGGTCTTTAGAAGTGAGCCCAATAGATATAAGCTTATAATTTGTTTGGGGTTTTGCTCTTTATTTCTTAAAAAAATCACATTAAAGAAGGGACTTTATTTTCTGTTTGAATGTAACTCCACTCTTATGTCTATGTTCCCAGGTGTGTGTATGTATGTGTGTGTGTGTATACATATATATATATATATATATTTAAAAGGTGGAGCTACGTAGCACAGGCTTTAACTCGACAAGTGATTTTGGCCAAGTCCCTTATGGCCGTTGGGCCTTAGCTTCTACATTTAAAAACATAAGATAATAGCACCAACCTATTGGGGACCATGATTGAGAGCAAATGCGACAATGGGGATCCAAGTGTGTGTTGCTTGTGAAGTGCCAATGCAGGTGTTTGGTATTTATATTCAGATGCAGGTTATGCTCACATCATATAAATTAAAATGTGAATGCATTCAAAAGCTCAACTAGTTCCTGAGGCAAGAAATGTGAAATGGCAATGACTAACAGGGTCAGTGAAACTCTTGGCTTCTAACCAATCCTGTACAAAATCTTTCCTAACCACATATTTTGAAAGATGAGGAAAGATAAAGGAATGAAGGGAACTGCCCTTTTTCTCTAACCCTTAAAACATTTTTTTTTCTTC